CAGATCGACAACTCAGGCGGCACTGAACTGGTAATGAGTTGCGCTGTACGCCTCTAGGGGCAGAAATGTGTACTACACAATCTCCGCCCACTGCAGTGCTATTCCGGTTATTTTTGGGTACCTCTTCGTACATCACCAAAAACCATGTCACTCATTTCCATCGGTCTGTCTGTCCGCTAATCCTCCCGCCCGTATGTAACTTGGAAAGTACTGCTCGGATTTGGATGAACTTTTTACACAAGATTAATACTATGCCAATTATAAAAACGCTTTGTTGTTGTTGAAAATCAGTCCAGTGACGGCAGAGAAATATGCTGAAAACGAAAAAAAAAATAACAGAAACTTTTCTTTTACGTTTCAGAGGTCATTGGGGGTTAGGGACTGTAGTAGTGTATCTCCATTTTTGGATGTTCACTATATTTTATATTTATTAAACATATTTCACACATCACAGATTTCCCCGTACGTTTGCCTTTAAAGTAGAAAAATATTTTCAACAGTGTACCTATCGGTAGCTGGTAGCAGACGGCGCGGAGTGCAATTTAATGAGGTTACTTGATTTCGTGAAGTAATATTACATACATTGTTGACAAAAGGTTTAACACCATAGCTCGACCAAAATAAGGCTTCCGTGTATGGACACGCTCATTGCTGAGGAAATCTTTTTTCATGAAGTCCAAATAGTACACTAATTGTTCTGACAAAACCTGCGTGGAGAGCTTGGTAAAGATAAAGTCAATCTATAAGTATATATGGCCATTGGCCAGACTTCGCCATTTGTAAGGATACATAATTATGTATGTGTTACAATAAAGTCCATTGAATTGAATTGAATTGAATTGAATCTATTTGAAGCCATGTTTTCTCATTCCTGGACCTTTTTGTAACGCGCATTAATTGCATGGCTTACACGACTGTTTGGAAATGATTTCAGGTTCACTATACCACAATCAAACAAGGTCTACGAGAATATTTTTTCGATAAACACATTTGTTCTGGACATTAAATCAAACCACACATGCTTTAATTATTTTTTCTGGCAGTTTTTATTGTTTCGGCGATCACGGTGACCTTTTTCGAGTACAATGACAATGACAATATATTTTGTTTGTTTTCCAGGTGACAGAAATTAAAAAATGTGTGGTTTGATTTAGCTGAAAAGACAATGTAGTCCTATCAGCATGAAAACCACAGGATAACTTTCAGTTGTTACAATATTTTCCAAATTTGAAAGCACCCTCATATTTTACTCTCCAAGGATTATAGTGTAATCAGTTTCGATCTAAATGTGTTTGGTTATGAAGTAGATATGAAAATAATCCAAATTCAACAGTCTCTTTTTCAATAACTTTTTTTAATATATACATATATTGATTAACAGCAGTTTGGTCTAAGTGTGCTACATAACTTGTGTATAAAATATTTTTTATTTCAAGCCCAGATTGGAAAGTGAGAGCATTGGCCATTTTTAGACAAAAGAAGTAAGAAACAAACTGTTGCTTTAATAGAACAATTTAATCAACGTATACAGCCGCTCCTGTCTCTCAATATTGGTTGATAAAAACTTAATTTGTTTAAAGTAAATGATCCAGGCATATCAATGTCAGTATGGCGAACCAACACAAGCTAGTAATGGTTGAAAATGATGAAGATTGGCACTGTATAACTCAAAAGGTGGCTATGCTGAATAGTGCAAAACAAAGATTGGCAATTTTTCCACCTCCCTCTGGAGACTTGACTACGACCAAAAATTATAAGCAGGTTTAAAAAGATATAGAAACGAAGAATGAAAAACATCTGAAACTTGTTCATTTATTGCTCAGATCTCCAGCAGTAGCATCTACTCGTACTATGAGCCTATACAATATTGCTACTCAACTTTCGTTAGGATGTGCAAGTCCGTTATTGAGATATTGAGAGAAGAAAAACGCCACAGACGCAGCGCCTGAAATGAGTGACATATTTCGCTATCATTAAAATCTGACACATTGACTGGCTGGAATTTAAAAACTAATTCGCGAGCTTATGCGTGGGTATATTAATCTTGCTAATATTTTTACTGGCAGAAATATCAAGTGGACTTTAGTAGTCAACAAAACAAGAGGTCCAGCTAAAATGTAGGACTCCCAAACTCCTCGTCACTGGAGTTTGTCAAATGCACCACTCGCTGTTTATTGAGCTACATGTTAGACTCCAATGTAAGATAGGACTTATCACCTTCTGAATCACAATATCTGCCCCTAGGCAGAACCTATAAAAAGTTTACATTACACTACTCTTACCTTTAGTACGGACGTCGAACATTATTATGAGAAATGTAGAACCAAAAATATCACATGTGACTTTTTCTAATGATGAATGTTACTTTTCGGAATTTTTGCTCGCCTTGTATCTTCGAAACGAGGCGGTCTCTCGAAAAACAGGAATAGTAAGTACAATGTACGACTCCTTCAATTCTATCTTGCTGTTTTAGAAGAACAAACAACGGAAACAGAATAATTTTGATAATTAGTAATGACTAGTAAACACCACGTAATGATTGCTTTTTTTTACCTTTTCCTTTCATCTTTCTTCTTAGTTTTTTTCATCAAGTAATGTTACCATGAAGATAAAGAACAAAATGAAAGGATGACATCGTCGTCGTCGGTTCATATTAATCAAAAAGATAGAGAGCACGCTATTGTTACGCCACACCGGAAGTAGTAATTTCAAAAGCATGATAACTGTGGAAACAGTACAGTGCATTTTGATAGTCTGAATAAATGGTCCTGAGTGTAATTTCGTGATAGCGGACGATGCGGTGACATTTATCTCCTTTCATACAGGATGTACTGTACTGATTCAATGAAGAATAAAGTAACACTATATTTGGAAATTCAAATTACTTGAAATTAAATGAGTTATTTATATGCGAGGTTTGGTCAAATGACTGGTAATATTGACATAATAGGATAATTTTGTCTGCCTCTTCGATTAATGTTGTAGATGTAGTCAAAAAGTTGAAGAGCAAATAAACTGGAGTCAAGTAGTTTGACTTTGCACTTCCTAGCCAACGTTGTCATCAGTTCATAAAAGATTATATTCGGCACAAGTTAGTCCCCCTTAGTTGGCTACGAATATGTATACCCGAGAACTTAAATAGTCCCTATAGGTTTGACTACTTTGCGATCTAGCCTAAAGCCCTACCGACCATCCAGCAACGTGGTAACTCTGCTTGTCGCAGCTCACGCAAATCCAGCACGGATACACGCATAATCGCTCAGTCTTCCTTCAGCATTTGAGGCAGACAGGTGTGCTTGATGAGTTATCCGGCACGCGTATATCGAAAATACATCTCTATCTTTCAAGTTTTAAGGGCGAATGAACGGGGAAATCTATGTAGTATGAAATATGTCTAAGAAGTGCGTAGATTTACCTGGGTTGAAACTTATAAGTTGCTAGCACCAAAAAAATGACATATTTTACACTCTCCCACCAATTACAACCCCCAACATCCGATATTTAAATCCTTCAAATTTTTTTCTGAAAATGATCAAGACCCTCTGAAACGTCATAAACTAAGTTTTAGGAATTTTTATTTTTTTGTCACTTTTTGGCCGTAACTCCGACGCCAATGGAAAAATTTCCAAAAACTGCAAAGCTTTTTCGTCCTCGGCATAGTAGTAACAACGTATGAAAATTTCGTCAAATTCCTGTCGGGGTTGGAAACGTATAAGTTGTTAGCACTAAAAAATTTACATATTTTACTCTCTCCCACCCCTTACCACCCCCAACATCCCATAATTGACTCTTCCAAAAATTATGATCAGGACCATCTAAAACGTCAAAAACGAAGTAGTAACAGCGTATGAAAATTTCAAAATCCGACCGGTATTTCCCAAGTTATTGACAGGCTAAATATTAGCGAACAGACCGAGGAATTGAGGGGTGTTCATGCCATATAAGATCCAAAAAACGTAATATTAGGAATTTTTTGCGATTAAAATACTGCCTCGCCAGTAGCGTAAAAAGTAAAAGACAACTGATATTGTTAAAGCGTTAAAATTATAAAAACCACAGGACAAAATTTTCGAAAAAATCAATACCCCTGACGACGTCAATGCCTTTAGTTCATGTAGATAGTAGATCCCAAAAAAAACTATTAGTGAGTTACTGACATGAAGGTACATATTCAAGCATGTGGTTCATCCGGAGCTGTAAGATGCTTATTGTCAGAAAGGACGCATTATGAAAAGCTCCTAGAAATATGTTTTACAAGTTTCCCTTAACAGGAAGACATTGAGGATGTCGGAAATCTGACAAATCGCACTTTACTCCGACGGATTTCGCACGATGTGATAATTTCTATTAGCTATATCACATAAATGTCTCTTCCATTTACTTTTACTTGTATTTTAACATTCATTTCAAAACTTCACACGTCAAACATTTATCAGATTGCTCATTTCAACGGACGTGATTATGCTAAGTTCTGTGAGCCAGTGTGATTTGAATATGTCTTCGTCAGATTTCTGATGGACATATTTCGGATGATCACGGACAACTGGCCATTTGAACAAGACTGTATTATAAGCCTGAGTTTGGTATGAAATGCTGAGACCTAGATCCCTTTCCAGGGTTTTTGACGGTTACGTCATCAATGCCACATGAAATAAGTCAGCAAATCGAGTAACTGAACCAACCATATACAGAGGTGAAGCTCCATAGGAAAACTGCAAACTGGTCGAACCGATTTTGAATGCAGTTGCTCTTGCAATATGAAATGATTAATAAAGGAGCATTGCTTTCATTAATTTTCTCAAAATATTCCAATAATTCTGTTTTATATTACGAAGATCAATAAAAGGTAAGTATCAGTGACAAGCATGAATTAGGAATACCCATAAGTTGGTGAGAAAATTTTCGAGGTGGCAAGACGCAGCTAAAGAACGTATGTCTGTCCTTACACAAATAAACGTGACAGATTGCATAATATATGATGGATGTATAAAAGTGATGTCGGTAGTTTTAGTGTAACCTGTCAAAAACTATAAAATGAACTATAGGAGATTATTTTCCTCATAATGTCGGAAGTTGGTTGCTTCTAGATCACCCTGTATATGCAAGTCAGCAGAATGTCAACAAAATCGTGGTAAACCTAATGTAAACCACGACAGCGCATGCCAAGCAGTCACTACCGTTCCGAGTAGAGCAAATCTAAATAAAGCCGAATATGTTACTATCTAGGAGATTTTCTTCCATAAGGAGCATACAAAAGCTGATGACAAATGGAACCCCGAAAAATAATTCAAGACAGAGTCACCATTGGAACTACAGAAAGGGAGCTCCACCTGCGTCAGAAAACCTCATCATGATTGCTGCAGTTGTACAAGGGATTGCTTGGTGGTGGATGTTGTGGCATCTGTGGACTGAACCTGGTCATGTGTTTGGACAGTTTGACTATCCAGATCCAAGTAAATGGACAGATAAAGAACTTGGAATATCACCTGGGAGAATTAAATATGATTAAACAACCATACTTCAGGGAAGTCAAATGCATTTCAATGTTAGATATTATGTTCTACACCTATACATCGTAAAGAGATTGTTTTCTACATTAAAAAGCGTGTAACTTCGACTAAAGACTATAAATTACGTTTTAAAATTTGCCATTTGTCATAAGTTCTGTCTGACCTGTGACTCGTTTTCCCGATCGTGGTCAATAAAGAATCTATAGATGTTAAATTCTTTATATACATGGTGATTCAAAAAAAACAGTGGTAATATTTTTAGGGCAAGCAGTACATCGGAAAACAGTACAAAAGTTCCTATAGATATGGGCTCTACTACGACTCGTTACCTAAATACAGGTTGTTGAATCTCTACAAAAAATATTTCTATACAATGGGTAAACATATCGATTCGATGTTTTCACATATAAAGGGTGATTTTTTAAGAGGTATATCATTTGATTTTCAAAAAAAACACAAAAAATTTGAAAAAACGATTAAATCTTTACTTGAGTCGATAGAACGGTCGATATAATTTAATGTTTAAAGATTATTTCATGTAAATATTGGCCGCGGCTCCGCTTTAGATGGCCCATGCGCAAGGTCCAATTTTGGCACACTCTCTCCAACATATCGGCCGGTATCTCACGAATAAATGCTTCAATATTGGCTTCCAGTGCGTCAATCGTTGCTGGTTTATCCCTGTAGACATTAAGCCTTAACATGGCCCCACAATAAATAGTCCAACGGCGTTAAATCACACGATCTAGGCGGCCAATTGACAAGCCCCAAACGTGAGATAAACTGTTCACCGAACTCGCCTCTCAATAGGGCCATTGTTTCGTGTGCGGTGTGGCATGTGGCACCGTCTTGTTGAAACCACATGTCAGTCAAGTCCAGCTCTTCCATTTTGAGCAAAAAAAAGTTTGTTATCATCGCACGGTAGCGCTCGCCATTCACAGTTACGTTCCAGCAATTGTCGTCTTTGAAGAAGCACGGCCCGACGATGCCACCGGCCCATAATCCACACCAAACTAATTTTTTCGAGATGCATTGGTAGCTCTTGCAATGCTTCTCGCTGGTCTTCACTCCCAAATCACCCATTAGTATTAACTATAGAAAGAAAGGAGAAACACAACTAACTGTCTTTTTCGAGACTTTTGTCGCATTCACGGATCATTCATTCGATTTCACATAAGTCAGAGATCTTCTTGTTGAGACAATTTCACTTAAATACCTCACGTACTGATATTCAATGATATTCAATGCAATTAAGCTGGATAGGTATCCCCATTTACAAAAATGCTCGGCATTCATAACCATTTTAGACATACCACACCCATGATTTTTACAGTGTATTAACCCTCTCTCCTTCCAAGACCTGCTGAGCTCCTCAAGTCCTATTTATGCCACTGGCACTGCCTCAAGCTTCATACAAATTATAAACTACCGATTCAAATTTTTTGCAATCAAATTATTTCAATGTCAACGCGCTGCAAGCCGAAACCACCGCCCATCTGTCTTCTATGTTTACGCTACTGTATAGATAAATTTCAAGATTCCCAAGCAACTATATAAATTTGATTATTTATAAATCGATCCGAAGCATGCCGCCATGCATGTCGGCCTCTTTCATCTCGGCTGCGACAAGTGGCCAAATTCATCAACAAACAGTTGATAGTGCAATAAAAAGCGAGATCAACATTTGCACCGAAAAAACGCGGGCGGGCGGTATACCATCAAAGATGGCTCGGAACATAGCGTGCCGTAAACGGAATGGTCCAGTTTTCACTCCTTGATTACTAACTGTTGAAAGCATAGCAACTATTATTAAATGGCCTTAGGTTCAACTTGAAACATGATAATACATGAAGCAGTAATTCATGTTTTTACTTCTTACGCCTCTGGACGAGGAGGCGTTGTAATCACAGAACGGTTCGAAAATCGGATATTATTTTATTTGAGTGGCATGTACATCACGAAAAACAATTTCTGTCGGTCTGTCTGTCGATCTATCCGACCGCTAATCCTTGACCCCTCGATAGCTGGGACAGTACCGGACAAATTTTGATGAAAGTTTGACACCGCTAGGCCAAGGATGAAAAACATTTGCAGGTTTGCGGGTTGAAGGTTGTAAACCAGTGAGTCGCAGTGGAGGATCGCGATTGACCAAGAAACAAAAAAAAACCTGTAGGGGTGAGGATTTAAACGAGTCAGTAAATATTATATTATCAAAAAGCTCCTGATGCTGGTGATATTCCTGTCTGTCCGCTAATTCTTGGACCGCTTATAACTTGGAAAGTACCGGTCGGATATCGATGAAATTTTCACACAAAGTCACTACTATGCCTAGGATAAAAAAGCTTTGTAGTTTTTGATAATCGGTCTAGTGGCGACAAAGTTAGGGGCAAAAATACGGAAATTGATCAAGCTTCGTTTTTCGGCATTTCAGAAGCTCGTGGTATTTCCGAGAAAAATTTTATATGGGTTGAAATTGGAAGGTTGGGGTTTATAGGAGTTGGAGTAGAGTATATGATTTTTTCGATGTTAGTATGTTTGTACGTTCCCAACTTCGCTAATTCTATTCACCTATTAGCCGTATTTCACACCTCATAGATTTACTTTTATATTTATATATATATATAAATATAGGCACATCGTTGCCCAATGGACAGTAACAACCGACAACCAGGAAACAACGTCAATGGACCAATAGTATGGACCTGTTTGGCTGACTTGATCAGTTTGGTTTCTCTGTTGTACATGCTCGTAATCGACTTTTTTCTCAGAGGATTTAAATTGCGCTGGAAGTGCGAAGTCAACCTACTTGACGCAATTTTTGGCTTTGGGATTGCTGGCCATTCATTTGCCATCTCATTTCATCGTAGAACCCCGTAGTTTGGTATTGATAACCTGCTTTCAATAAAGATGTTAATACAATTTCATCTCTGCCATCAGTAATACTAGATTGAATGAATGAATGAGAAGGCCATTTCAATCCAGTTTTGACCGGGAAACGGGTTTCATCAAAACATTGCCAATGACTAGGTTTTGGCATCCCAACTCATGTCTCAACAACATTTAGTCCAATGCGTTTTATTCCATGAGATATTACTCAATGAAGAATATCAGTGCCAGATATAATTAAAAAAGTAGTATTTCGATAACCTGATGAGGCGTATCCGGCTTGTTTTTGTAAGCTCCAGGTTCAGTCAAATTGCGCATTATTCTTTGATTCCTTGTTATTTGTGTTTTGTCAAGTACATACTTGATTACCTAAGTCAGTGCAGTCCAACTTAATAAATTATAAAATCTTTCTATACAACATTATTACAGAGTTAATGTAAGAATTGTGCATATTCGGTATTTGAGAGTAATTTATACATACATGACTCGTGAAGCGGGCCTTATGTTGGACAGCCCTGACATAAGTTATAGAAACAATTTACTGATGATTTTAGAAAGATCAACTATCGACTTTTTTAGGCAACTTCGATATGTAATCATAATAAAAACATTTAAAATTAAAGTATGCATAGATCAAGTTCTTAGCATCAAGATTTATTTTTGTTTCGAAAGAGCGGGAAACGAATCTCATTATGTTTAAGCATATCTTTAATTTTTAGTTAATTATGTTGCAAATTACACATGTTGCCTCAATTGTGAGAACATGAGAGCATTTAAATGATGGCGAATTACAGAATAAAATGACAACAAACAGCAGACTTTGAAGTTGAGTCATTAATTTTCAGATAATGATTGTAGAAGGAAGATAAACCAAAATATGTGTGTAAAAATAAAAAACATTAAAAAAAAATGTTACCTTGTTTTATAAAGTATCCTCCCGACAAGTATTTCAGTGCGGACCTGTATTTGATCGTGCGGTCTTGGAGCACCGACAGGCCCTCCCCTGTAAGGTCTTAAGTCTCCTGATTCACGAGCCCTTTGTACTATATTAACAAAGGCACGAGGGGTTGGTTGCACTCGATTGGGAAACCGATTCGCACAAATCCGTGATGCCGCGGCAGCATTTTGTAAAGACTCCCCGTAAATACGAATAATGTCCACAAGTTCAGCATTTTCGTAAACATGTGCCATTTTTTATTTCGTTTGAGCCACGCAACAAACACCACTATTCACTCACGCGTTACCGACTGACGAAATACATCGTGATAAACGTTTCAAATTCTTTCGCTTTTTTGTTTCCGATGCGATGAACCGATAACGCGGATTATATCCGTTGTTGCCAAACACGAGCACATAATATTATTATTGATAGATATATATATATATATATACAGGGTGACTTTGAAGTTGAGTCATTAATTTTCAGATAATGATTGTAGAAGGAAGATAAACCAAAATATGTGTGTAAAAATAAAAAACATTAAAAAAAAATTTTACCTTGTTTTATAAAGTATCCTCCCGACAAGTATTTCAGTGCGGACCTGTATTTGATCGTGCGGTCTTGGAGCACCGGCAGGCCCTCCCCTGTAAGGTCTTAAGTCTCCTGATTCACGAGCCCTTTGTACTATATTAACAAAGGCACGAGGGGTTGGTTGCACTCGATTGGGAAACCGATTCGCACAAATCCGTGATGCCGCGGCAGCATTTTGTAAAGACTCCCCGTAAATAAGAATAATGTCCACAAGTTCAGCATTTTCGTAAACATGTGCCATTTTTTATTTCGTTTGAGCCACGCAACAAACACCACTATTCACTCACGCTTTACCGACTGACGAAATACATCGTGATAAACGTTTCAAATTCTTTCGCTTTTTTGTTTCCGATGCGATGAACCGATAACGCGGATTATATCCGTTGTTGCCAAACACGAGCACATAATATTATTATTGAGACAGGGTGGTACTCAAACTTCTAAAGGGCTATAACTTTGTTACTTTAATTTTACCAGAAAAATGTTAAAGGAAAAAAACATTTCTTTTGATCAGATCTACTCACTGTTAAAATAAATGACTCAACTTCGAAGTCACCCTGTATATATATACAAGCATTTTCCACAAGAGGAATTGAGAAACAACGTCCTCTGCACTGCAATTCCAGGAAAATAGGTATGTACCTTGAGAACAATGTTTTTGTCGTCAGGACAAATGAGGCTACTTTATTATTTTTTATACCCCAGCTTCCGCGAAGGTCTAGTGCTTAAACACCCATGGAGTTCCATGGAGCTATAGAGGGATACAGGGGAAAGGGGGGACGACACCGGAATCTAGC